GTATAGACCTTGTGCATTATTTTCCTATATCAATGGTTGGCACCACCACAAGTTTCCTCATCAAGATTTTCTCTCACTGAGCAAATCCTAACTGAATTTGAGAGAAGATAAGAATGGAAAGCAAACAAGGAAATGAATATGAAGACTTGTTGCCAGTAATGGCAGAGAAGCTAGATGTGGATGCTTTTGTCGAAGAACTTTGTGGTGGATTTCGGGTTCTGGCGGATCCTATGAGTGGCTTGATTACTCCGCAAAGTTTGCAGAAGATCTCGGCGTTCTTGGGATTCGAAGGGATGAGCAAAGAAGATGCTGAGGCGATGGTGAAAGAAGGTGATATTGACGGAGATGGAGCGCTTAATGAGAAAGAATTCTGCGTACTTATGGTGAGACTGAGTCCAGAAATGATGCAGGATGCAGCAGCATGGCTCGAGAAGGCGATGCAACAAACCTCCTAGTATTGATCATATGGTCTCTATATAGATGTCTAGTAAGTTGTATTGAACGATCGTTAATTCATGTTCTGTGTTCTTTACCGCCAGGATGACACAAATGACTTGAGTAGTTCTCTTATCAACTCTGTATCCAGTCATTAAGTTATTGCAGATGGAGCATATGAATATTTAGCAAGTATCTTCCACCCTGGAGCGGCTTTGTTGTTGATAAAGCACTGATCCAATCATTGAGAAAAAATTAATAATTGAACCTGAGCCAGTATTTACACAAATTACATTTTTAATCAAGGGCACCTTTTTTTGCCTACAGTTTATTACATCATTCATTTGTTTAAAAATTTCAACAGTACAAACTAATTAAAGATGGGGCACCGTAACCAAATTTTGATGTTCGATTTTAATTTAGAGACCTTTCAGCATCAACTGCTACTCGAATGGATCTACGAGATTCAATAAGATACAAGAGCGATATAACAAGCAAGTTTTCAAGTAACGTGAACTAAAGTTGTCCAACAAAACCAACACAAGGAACTCAACATTGACGTCTGGAAGTTATACAATAGTCAAGTTCTTCTAAATGAAGTATCTAAAGGAGCTGCTTTCATTTACTACATATATAGCACACTAGAGCAGAACACACAACTTCCATTCCCATGCTTCCATCAAGTTCTTGACCTCCTGACGGGAGATCGGCTGTAAAATGAACAAGTAAGAGCACGTGAATATAACAAATAATACAAAAGTGCATAAAAATGACATTTCTCTTGATAAGCTAAGCAATTTTTATTTAATTTTCATACAGAGGTTGGTCCCTCTCCCTCTAATGTCTAATTAACCAATCTTTGACTTGCAAGAAAAGACAAAAATGACTATAGTACCTTCTGTACCTCCCATATTCAGGACTCCTGTGCCTGTCATATGACGGACCATTATACCTATCATAAACAGGGCTTCTAGGACGCCCATAATCAGGACTTGGTCGACTTCTGCGGTAAACTGGACTGGGTGACCTCCTGTAGGGACTATCTCCACCACGCCTTCCATAATCTCTTCTTGGGGGGCTATCATATCTTCCACCCTTGTCATCATCATCCCTTAAAGCATATTCAACAGAAACCACTCTGTCAAATATCTTGCTGCACATTCACAAGACATGTCAGCCCACATGACATAGCAACAAAGACACAATCACTCTTATGCTATCAGATGGAGATGCACCCGGCAAACAAGCAAGCTTACCTCATGTGTGTGCACTCCAATGCTTTTGTGGCTTCTTCCTGCGTTTCAAACTGCACAAATGCAAAATTCCGACGAATGCGAACATTCAGAACCTTCCCATAAGGTTCAAAGTGTCGTTCTATGTCACGGTCTCTAGTACGATTAGGATCAAAGTTTATAACAAACAACGTTTTAGTTGGTCTCTGGTTTGCTGCCTTGCTATCATGATGCCTGCCACGTTCACCCTGTCAAGAGGGAACTTAAATTAACATTCTCCACCTTTTAAATATCAAATAGCATATAGGACCATGGTAGAACCCAACTTATTTCATTACTTGAGAAAGAAGTATAAGAAAACCCCCCTCAATTCATTACAAAACCAGCCAACAATAAGTATGGAGAAGCAACATACCCTTGCCCATTCTACCGACAATTTGCGCCTGTCATAGCCAAATGGTGTATGGTCAAGACCACGGATGGCATCTTCAGCATCTCGCTCATCCTCAAAATAGACAAATGCAAATCCTGCAGAAAAAATTAGCATGAGGCAAAGGCAATATAGCATAAGGATGCATAATGACCTTGCAGAAGAGAGTGCATCAGCTACTAATTCAGGAATTTTTTCCCATGACAAGTTAGATAAAGTACAAAACCTGCAAAATTGTGAAGGTTCTGATGAAAGTAAGGATGTAGAGGCCTTGCATGATGAACTAAGGGAAGAGGATGAATATGATGAAGCAAATAAAGGCTTAGATCCATGGTGTCAGGTCTGAGTTGTCATTGCTAAACATGCTTCACCAATTTCACAGCACGAATTCAGTATATAGAAGACATGGCATGATTGAACTCATTGACCTCCTTATGATTAGTGATTGTAGGCATGGCATGATGAACTAACACATTGTCCCTTATGATTATAGTGGTTGGCATGGCATGATTCACTGATAGTTCCCACCATAACCAATTTGGTGAGATGGCTACCTTAGGCATTCAAGGAAGTGAAAGAGAATATTGAGTGAAAGAAATGTAGAACGTTTCCATCTGTGAGTAGGAGACAGGGAAGCAGATAGGTTGCCTCTGCATTAGAGGTTTATAGTGCAGAGAAGTTGACGAGCCAAGAAAGAAGCTCATATTCCCCTAGTAGATGTTCCTGCGTCAAAACAAATGCTTAAATGTGGAGATCTTTTCCAATAAAGACTTCAATTTTCCCGGTGATCTTATACTTTCCCC